CCATGTTTATTATAGATAAACAGAAGCTATTTTGTATTATTTGTATTAAACCAGACTTGGATATTTGCATTACCATATTGGGGAATTTTGTTACCATTTTTACTTCTGTGGGCTTTATTATGTAAAAACATGTCCAAAAGGTCTAATGCATCTCCAGTGAATAATGCCACAGTCATTTCAGAAAATGAAAATGGAAGTAATAACACATCACATTCTATTACCACCATTGCTCTACAGCCAGATTTTAATGAGCCCAGCTCTCTGGTCTGTCTGAGCATTTATAGACCTCTGCAGCTCTGGGCAAGACACAGCAGAAGAGAATGTCTCTCTGTCCAGCAAGAACAGTATTGAATATGGCTGCTCTGTGGGTGGCTCGTCTGTTGTGCACTTGGTGGGGGTCACTGCCTAGAGCAGGAGTAGAACTACCCAAGATTGCCACTAAACAGCAAGAAGCATGTAAAATTCATCAACTTCCCCCTATTCCATCGCGAAGAAATGGTAAAGGATGCAGTAGCCAGCTAGTACATACCAGTACAGAGCAGTAGCCTTAAAAGCGTTTTCAGAAACTCAACTGTTAACTTTGGGAAGATGGGAAATGGGTAGCAGAAAAGGCAGTAAAATAACAAACTGGGGCCAGAAATTCTACCTTCACAGGCTGAGTGTATGCCCAAGATGAGTCAGAAGGGGCAGACATGAGTTTGTTGTCTCAATTTATCTCAGTTCTTCTAAGCCTCTCATAGGATGAGAATCAAATGAATTAGACAGAATTGCGGCATTCAGATGCCAAAGAAGGTGTTCTTAACACACGGCTCCTAAACGCAAGCCAGCTCCTTCATCTGGCGCTCAGCTAAAGAGTCACTTGCTCTGCAGCTGAAGAAAAAAACTGGCAGAGCTTGACTCAGCTGTGAGATGGTGTCGTAGCCTCCAAGTTGGCATTCATCTGAAGGAATTTTGAGAGTAACTTGGACTGTAAGTAGTTTCCCTTTCCTGCTAACTTGAGGACTGAACCTCCATTTGCAATGTCACCCAGTTATGCATAGTTCTAAACAGTTTCAGTCAGAATAAACCATGAGAACCAGACTACTCCAGAAATTAGGTGAGTCAGTGGGATTTTGAGATGCCATAAGGACAAAAGCCACACTGAGGATATCAGCTGTTTTGAGGCTCAACCTATTTTAAAGACCAGGAGATCCATGTGGTCAATAGATGGTAAGAGAGGACAATTCCAACAAATGATCCAGGCTAATTCTTTCTTTCTTTCTTTTCTTTTCTTTTCTTTTCTTTTCTTTTCTTTTCTTTTCTTTTCTTTTCTTTTCTTTTTGACAGGCAGAGTGGACAGTGAAAGAGAGAGAGACAGAGAGAAAGGTCTTCCTTTGCCGTTGGTTCACCCTCCAATGGCTGCCGCGGCCAGCACGCTGTGGCAGGCGCATCGTGCTGATCCGAAGCCAGGAGCCAGGTGCTTTTCCTGGTCCCCGATGCGGGTGCAGGGCCCAAGGACTTGGGCCATCCTCCACTGCACTCCCGGGCCATAGCAGAGAGCTGGCCTGGAAGAGGGGCAACCGGGACAGAATCCGGCGCCCCGACTGGGACTAGAACCCGGTGTGCCGGCGCTGCAAGGTGGAGGATTCAGGCTAATTCTTAAAAGCAATACTAAAGGTGTTGGTAGGTCATATTTAGACTTGTTCTACAAAGCAGGTATGTCTTTCTTATTATTTTAAATATTCTCTAGTTGCATGGTGACATAATCTGAGGAGCTCTGTTATTTCTGAACTCTAGATAGTGAGCTATTTGAACAAGAGAATTAGTCTAAAGCTCTGCAGTTACTGTACATAGCTCAAGATGTCCTGTTTACCACTGGGGTGTGTTTTCACTCTGAGATGCATCTCTTATGTTCAATCCCTTGGCCAAGAAGATGTAAATCAAATGCCTGCTCATTGTCCATGGAACCTTGGGATTGCTTCAGATATTTCCAGTTGGCTACAAATGCAAATATGTTAGACTGCAATGTTAAGTATTTTATTTCAGAACATAAAAGCTATTCTTATGATATAAAAGGGGACATTTCATTGTACTATTAGTATAGCTTAAAAAAACAAACCCTGGACTGTAACGAAGATTATCAAAGAAGATTCTGCAACTCTAGTGTATTACTAGTGGACATGGAAAATGGTATACTGCCACTCTGTAAAACAGTTTGGGAGTTTTTAAGAAAATTAAATATACACTTATCACATGATCCAGCAATTCCATTCCTCTTAATATACCTAAGAAAAATAAAAATGTGGCCGGCGCCGCGGCTCACTAGGCTAATCCTCCGCCTTGCGGCGCCGGCACACCAGGTTCTACTCCCGGTCGGGGTGCCGGATTCTGTCCTGGTTGCCCCTCTTCCAGGCCAGCTCTCTGCTGTGGCCAGGGAGTGCAGTGGAGGATGGCCCAAGTGCTTGGGCCCTGCACCCCATGGGAGACCAGGAGAAGCACCTGGCTCCTGCCTTTGCATCAGCGTGGTGTGCCGGCCGCGGCGGCCATTGGAGGGTGAACCAACGGCAAAGGAAGACCTTTCTCTCTGTCTCTCTCTCACTGTCCACTCTGCCTTTCAAAAAAAAAAAAAAAAAAGAAAGAAAAATGTATATCTGCACAAAACTTAGATATGAATGTTTAAAGTATCATTACTCATAATTGCAGAAACAAACAAACAAAAAACAGAAAAGAACCCAATTGTCCTTCCACAGGTGAATAAATGAATTGTGATTTATCGATATGGTGCTCGTAGAACAACACTCAGAAACAAGATGGAATCAACTATTGATCTCTGCACCAATAGAAATGAGTCCTGTATACTTTAGGAAAAGTGAGAGAAATGAGACTCAAAAGATTAATATCAAATTATACTAATTATATAACATTCCTGAAAATGCAAAACTTTAGAGGCAGAAAACAAATAAGTAACTGAAAAGGGTTAAGTTCAAAGGGGACTGTTTCATTACAAAAGGGCAGCTGAAGGAAGTTTTTGGTATAAGTTTACCATTTTATACTCTAAATATGATGCTGGCTACATGACTATGCATTTGTCAAAACTGGCATATATATGTAAGCTTATATATACACATATAATTATATCCCTCAAAATAATCAAAATCAGAATTCTAAAAACTCTGCAGATCCATAAAAAGATTTGTTTGAAATAGAGAGATACTAATTCCTCCTCGCAGTCTGATTAGGTGAGAAGATAGAAGTAGTGATAAGCCAAAGGGAGCAAAACTAAGAAATAACAGGCTAGGTCCCTAGGCAGGTTCATCAGGAGGGACTTCTCTGTGAAAGAGTCTGTCATATCAGGGCACAACACAGAAATTCTGGGGAAAAGTAAAACACTTTTAAATTTAAGAACCATCTCCAATTTATATTTTAAAAATAAAGTCAAAAAATGCATTTCAGAATTGTTCATTGATTTCTGTCTCTGGAATGCAGGCATTTGTTACAGAATTTTCTCTTTAACAAATGTGGGGAGCCAGTGAGCAAAACAAAATATGTATGAAATTGATTTTAAATGAGCTTAGCATTTTCTCCCATATTCTATACAAATATTCCATATGCAAAAAATTTTTTAAATGTCTATTTAATTTTAGAGACACACAGAAAGAGTCAGACAGACAGAGATTCCAAGCGCTGGTTCACTTCCCAAATTCCCATAATGGCAAGGACTGGGCCAGGCTGAAGCCTGGAACAAGGAACTCAATCTGGATCTCCCACCTAGGTGGCATGGACCCAAATACTTGAGCCATCAGTTTGTTTCTCTTCCATAAAATTAGGGAGATACTTAAATGCCTTTCAAGCTGCTTTTGCAATGACTGAATAACTGTTCAACATTAATAGGGTTAGGCTGGTCTCTCACATCCTGTCTCCAACTGAATTCCATTTCCCTCTTATCCTCCCTTCAAAGGTAGACCAGCTTCTTGCAATGAATTATAGATCTACCGAGGTGCAAAAGAGGACACTTTAAAATTAACTATTTTCTTGTCTCTGCATATATACTGTTTGTATTTTTTATTAAAAATTATTTTTTAGGGGCCAGCATTATGGCATAGTGGATTAAGCCACTGCCTGCAATGCTGGCATTTCATATTGGTTCTGGTTCAAGTCCCAGATGCTCCACTGCCTATCCAGCTCCCTGATAATGCTTCTGGGAAGGCAGCAGACGATAGCCCAAGTGGTCGAGTCCCTCCATTCACATGGGAGACACAGATGAAGCTCCCTGGGTGGTGCGGTCATCTGGGGGGTGAGCCAGCAGATGGAAGATCTTTCCATTTCTGTCTCTCTTTCTTTCTCTGTAACTCTGACTTTCAAATAAATAAATACATCTTTTTTAAAAATCTAAGGCAAATCAGTTGAGATGTCATACGTGACATTCCATGCAGAGTGCCTGGGTCTTGACTCATTATTTAGTTCTCAGATGGGCTAAGTCTCTCCCACCTTTGGTAACTAGAAAGGTGCATGGCATCAGGAAACCAGAGGCATGAGTTTTGTGTCCAATTTGCATGTAGGAATAGAGAGCAGGCTCCTGGGTTGCTACTGGATTTGTCTCTAATGTTTGCCTTCTGACCATAGCCTACTCCATTATTGTGTAGCTAAAGTATTGGTATACACTTATTCATTCCTTCACACAAACAAAAAATTTTATTGACCCTGACAAAAGGACAGACAGGTCGTACAATGGATTAAGGCCCTAATTCTGCGGATGCTGACCCTGTGCCTTCAATTTGTCATTCTTGAGAGATTGGTGAGCTGTTGAAGGACAGAGAGAGACAGAGAGAGAGAAAGAGACGGAGACATTGATTCAGTTCAGCTACAAACTGATATTGGATTCTTTTCACTTGGTTGAGTACTGAAAGCTACACTTATTAGTTACAGAACATTGTTTAGAAGTGTTTGCAATATATAATTTAGGTGCATTGGCCAAATGGATACATTGCTAATCGATACAAATTCATTTTGTTTATAGTTTTTTATACGTGCTCCTTGGTCCCTGGAAATCTGCAAGAATAAAGACCACAGAAAGACCAGCAAGTAATATAAAATAACGACATCATCTTTCCAAAATTATCTATTAACTGTCCTCAACTGAACAAAGGAAGTCAACTGTTAGGTGCTTATAAAGACCAACATCAGGAAAATCCTCAACATCCTTCTCTGTTCCCTCCTTCCCCCCAGCTCCACACAGGTATGTTGGAAAATTACTGCAGAAGCGCCTGTGAGTAAATGACAGTGACTAAAATTGATAGATGATGTTGATGAAATGAATCATCAATGGTGGATGTAATGGTAGAAGGAGGAAGCTGAAACTCTGGTTCTGAGATATTTGCGCACATTTATTTCATTTATCTTGTCTGTCTCCTTCCATAAGATTTTAAGCTCCAAAGATATAGCATTCTTGCCCCTCTTGTTCCCTGTCCTATCTTTAGGGCCTAACACTAAACTGACATTTATGTTTAGGAGTTGAAAGAATAAATTGATCAATTAATAACACAAAAATCTTTGATCAAGAGAAAGCTGAGATGTTTGTTAATTCTCCCTTAAAAAAAGACAATAGTATAAAAAATATTTTAAAGAGGTTAATACAGAAAGGAAAGCTATTGTTATTAGATCATTTCAGGTTAAAAACATTCACCTTGTCCCCCCCTCATTTGCTTGACAACACCAGTGACAATTGTCTATGCCAATAATTTTAATGATCGTTACATCATTGGGAGTATGAGCAATTCTAAATATGAGATCTCACAACATTTTTACAGAAGGCCACCTACAAATGTGTCTGAATTATACACGCAAACAAATCTGAATTAATATCAAAGGCAAATAAGATCTTTTTCTCAGAGGACAAGAAGAGAATTCATACCAATTTATCGCTTAATACTTTGGCAAAGGCTTTTGCTGCAAGATTTTTAAACGTTCTTTTCAGTATTCAATCACATAACTGTCTGAAGAGGATGTTGTGATTTGGGTAATAATTTTCTCAAACACATTTACATCCCTAATTTCTTTTTGAACCGAGTCAATCAACCTGCCATTTGGGATGCACCTGGAGGCAACTTGTTTGAGGTTTTTTTTTTTTTTTTTTTCCTGCAAAAGTGAGAACTATAGGACATCCATTTGCACTTGAACTGCCTGTAAATACCTCCCAAGGTCCCTTAGCTCTATGAGGGAGAACAAAGGAAACAGCGATTTTCAGTCAGTGCTTTGTGATTTCTGTATTCTGTAGACTGGAGAATAGAATAGAGAAGGCATTCAACTCTCTTTGGGGTCACTTTCTGGACCGGAGAGGAACAGACTATTTTTACATTTTCAAATACTGTCTCTCCGTCTGCTGGAGCCTCCCCCAACAGCCATATTTGCATATGGTCCTGCCTCCTATGAATGTCTCCCAGTTTTTCACTTAAATGGCAAGGGAAAAGTGGGGTAAATCCCATACTCTCTAATGACTTACTCAACGGTTACCCCGAAAATCCTTTTCAATGTTACCTCCTCTCCTGCCCTTTATATATTTAGAGAAAGAACTTCAATTCAAAGACATGAACTATAACTCAGGCTACTTGCAGGGAGTTCTTTAGGGAGCAGAGCCTGGTGGGGGTGGAGGAAACTAGAAGTGGTAGCAGATGGAAAGGAAATAAAAGTACAGTGCTCAAGCTGCTGTGTTCATACAGTCAGCTCCTCATTGTTCATCATTTCATTCAAAAATCTCTGCCATGTGGCCCATGCCCACATTTTTTTAATCTGTCTTCCGCAGCTCACAGACATAAGTTTTAACATCCATCCATTCTAGAGCAACTTCTGTCCCATGATTTTGATGGTGCTCTGTACTTGTCTTATCCTGTGCTTTGGTTCATTTTTATTCCTCCCCTGGATCATAGCCAGCCTATCTCATAGACAAATACTACTCATTCCTCAAGAGCTGTTATATCAAATCCACCATTAGTCTATTATTTCTGATCTGTATCTAGATAAAACAAAATGAAACATAAATTAATTTCTTAGAGCTTTCTGAGAAAACAGTTAGCTAAATTCTTGAGATGGAAGGTCATTCTCTGGAGGCATAAACCCGACAAATATAATGATGATAACCTACTCTTCCATGAAAAGGAAAAGGAAAAATCTGGAGAAGGAGGAGAGCTAACAACTCTGTAGGGAAGCAGCAAATAGAGATAGGTGTTGTTGGAATAGCCCAAGGATATGTTAAGAATGGAGAAACCAACTTCAGATGAAAGTTGTTTACAGGGGCTGGCTCTGTGGTGTAGTGGGTAAGGCCATCACCCGTGGTGCTGGCATCCCATAAGGGCACTGATTTGAGTGCCAGCTGTTCCACTTCTCATCCAGCTCTCTGCTATGACTTGGGAAAGCAGTAGAAGATGACCCAGGTCCTTGGGCCCATGCACCCACATGAGGGACCCAGAGGGGGCTCCTGGTTCCTGGCTTCGGATTGGCCCAGCTCCAGCCATTGCAGCCATCTGGGAAGTGAACCAGCAGATGGAGGACCTCTCTCTTTTTCTCTCTCTCTCTGCCTCTGCCTCTCTGTGGCTCTGCCTTTCAAATAAATAAACAACAACTGTTTGTAGGTATGGGAGTTAATATTCACATAACTTGGCTAAGCTCTATTACCCCAGAAGTGAAATCAAACAGTAATCTAGGTGTCGCTGTGAAAGTATTTTGGGAATATGGGTAACATCTAAAATCAGTTAAGTATAGGAAACTACATTTAATACTGTAGATGGACCTCATCCAATCAGTTGAAGGTCTCCCTGAAGCTGGGTGTTTCCTGGAGGTGAAATTTTGCCTCAAGATAGCTGCACTATCCCCTGCTTAATATTCCAGTCTCTCTCAGTATGTATTTAATATATGTGTGTTACACACATACATATGCCATATATACTTGTTTATATATAACATATGTATATTATACAAATAGTCAATCTTTATTACTTAGGAACTCCATAATTACTAATTTGCTCACTCACTAAAATTTATTTGCAATTGCAAAATCTAAACTCACTGTAGTTTCGCAGTCCTTTGTGGACATACAGATAGTGAATGAGTTGCTCTAGTCGCACATTCCCGTCTGTGGTCAAATAGGCAATACTATGCCTTTTATTTCAACTCGCATACTGTAAATAAATGTACTTTTGTAGTGTAATTAACACTACATGTTTTGCATTTTTGCTGACTTTGCTATTTAAATTCTATCTCCACACCCAGCATAGTGCTGAAGTTCTGTGCAGTGTTCCTAAGTGTAAGAAGCTTGTGAAATGCTTTAAAGAGAAAATACATATGCCAGATAAGCTCCATTCAGGCATGACTTGGCCATGAGCTCAATGTTAATAAATCATAAATGTATGTTAAGTAAGGTATTTTTAAGCAGAAACCCACATAAAACAAGGTTACCTATTGATCAATTGAGGAATATGTAGTGACCAGACACTTCAGGAATCTAAAGCTGTACTTTCCATTGCATTTCCTATTACTCATAGAAGAAATGGTTCAATATTTGTTAATTCAGTGTTTGCAGCAAGGTAATAGAACACAAGTACTATGAATTACTATACATTTGTCTATCATCTCTCTGTCTTCTATTGAGTTTCTTTCTCTGGAGAACTTAAGTGACACATATGATTATTGTCTTGGGTTGTAAATGGTCCCACTACTCCCAAGAGAAACTAGAAAGCCGGTGGATGAGTCAACTGAGAGAATGAGAAACCAGACACAGAAGCGATTTCAGGTTAAGTACTCTCCCTCTGTCATTGGCTACAGCCTCTCTGGAGGGACATAAATGTCCATGCAATTTCTATTCTGGATTGGTCCTTGTGATTGCCTCCAGTGTTCCAAGCATTGTCCTATGAAGAAGAATGCCAGACCAAGACCACAGGAGAGAGCAGGGAGACCAGAGAAGAAAGTGAGTAAAAGATGTCAAGATAGCACCAGAAAGAGGACTCACCCTTTATCTATGTAAACCCAAATCCTACCACCTAACCAAGTACTTGATGGATAGTAAGTGCTGAGTAAATGTTTGAGAGAAGAAGTGGCCCAACATGCCATATTTGACTTACGCTCACATGTACAAGCGAGCAGAAAATCAACCATTCTCAGGAGTGCTTTTTTGATGCTTCTCTGGAGTACAGTTATTGAAAAATACTTGTAAAAGGGAGAAGTTTAAAAAATATTTTCATGGTTATTTGACAGATAACTCCTTTCCTGGAACTACATGATAAAATTAAACTTGTTAGTCTTTTGCCAGAAAATTTTGAGAACTTATCCTAACAGGAAGGAAGGATGGAAGGAAGGAAGGAAGGAAAGGAAGGATGGAAGGAAGGAAGGAAGGGGCTGCATATTATCAAAATAACTGTAAGAAACACAAAATGTACATTGCAAAATTATGAGGTTCTGCCAATCTCTCTCTCCCCACCCACCCCTCCAACCTCTCTAATAGCCTTTCTATCTACTTGTATTTATCTTCCTGTATCCCTCTCAAACTCTTTTCTCTCTTCTTACACACACACACTCACACACGGGGTGACTCCTTCAATTAAAAAAAAAACTATACTCACGTTAAGTTTAAATTAGTAAATATTAGTCCAATATCAGGGAGATCTAATCTATGCTTTTAAGTCTTTTAAGTGTACTTTTCCACAAGATGTCCACAAAACAAGGGAAGATATTTATATATAAATAATGAGAAAATATATTTGTAGAGCTGATGTTTAGACAGCATCTGCCTGTTGGAAGAATTATGCCAGCCTTACATAGCTTCCAGAGTATGAAATTCCTGCTATTTTCTTAAAATGCTGTGACTACAGGCTTTTGGGGAGAGGTAAAAAGAATTAGATCACTTCGTAAGGCAGTTGAGGAATTGCTCAACTGTTAGGGAGCGGTTCCTATCACCAATAGAATCAAGCCCCAACTCCTCAGCGTAGCATGTAAGATCTTTCACCAGGGCTCCTCAACCTGTCTCTCCAGCCATATTTCCTGCCCCTCCCCCCTCAATATGGCTTATAATGGAGCCACCCAAATTATTCACACTTCCTCTAATAGCTCAGACCATGCTCTGACATAACCAGTATATTTCCACTTCCTATTTCTTTTACCAGGTGTATAAAATGCCTCCTTATGGTAAACTTTTACTCATTCTTAAAGAACTAATGCAGATTGGCTGTGGAGTAACTCCTGAAATTCTTA